TTCACTAAAAAAGAATTATACTACGTACCATTTATACGTAACCAACCTCATCCTTGACAGATTTATATGGTCCTTAGTGTTTAGGGACCTTCGTTTTAGTTTCAATTAAATTAAATAGACAGCAGATTAAAGCTATTTAGAACAGATTTATGGGGCCCATGGGGACAATGCATATAGATGATATAAATGAACAAAAATGGATAAAAGCCCTTCATCAGATGTGCCCCCTTACCAAACCTCTATAATATTGTACCGCTCAGTTTTGATGACTTAGTCACAAGTAGACAGCTTCATTGCATGCATGATTGAATTGGGTGTGAATTAATTTCCCCTTTTTGCAATTGCTCTTTCTCTATCTTTGTTGAATAGAGCTATTTAGCTCATTTCGAAGCTTCATTTTTCGTTTGCCTTCCCACCTTAATTAGCAAACTATTGGACCATTTCACTTCAATGGGCACGTCTTAAGCAATAATTGGATTAATTGCCAATCCCTAATGAAGTGAAAGATTATTTGTCTAAGTGAAGTTGGTTGAAGATGCACATAAAAAGGTGAATTCTCTATAGTACGGAATATGTAAGAACAGGATAATTACTTTTACATCTATAGGTTAAGTTATGTATGTACACAAAGATTTCACATAGAAGGAAGATATTTTTAGGGGTAATTTGAGTTTGACCCCAAATTATTGTCTATATTGGACTTTGCACCCCGTTTTTAAAACTCTTTGTTTTTGTACCCCAACCTCATATGAAAAGACAGAAATGTCCCTCTTTTAACAATTTTGTTGACCTTCAACATATTCCTGATTTAGGGCATTTTTGTCTTTTCATATGAGGTTAAGGTGCAAAAACAAAGATTTTTAAAAACATGGTGAAAAGTCCAATTTAGATAATAATGTGAGGTGCAAATTCAAATTATCCCATATTTTTATTGTACTAATCAACTTGCAATCTCTTCTTACTGTGCAAAAGATAATAATCTAATTATCTGAGTTCTTTTTAATTTTCCGATCTTATAATTCAAGGATTCAGAGGTAGGATCCTATACAACGGAATGACGGATCATGTATGTTCAAGTAAGGTCATAATCTACTTATTTGAGTTATAAATCAAAGAATTATTACTATTGATGCAACTTAACGTATGATGCTAATATATATTCTAAATTAATTATAGATAATTTAAATCATAAGGAATGAGTACGAATCTCAAAGAATTTGCTTAAATAGTTTCTGATATGTGAGATGTCTCTTACATACTCATAGTAATAGTAATTATTATTATTATTATTATTATTATTATTATTACAATTATTATTGTTGCTGTTGTTATATTATTATTTTTTTTATTATTATTATTCTATAGCTATCGTCATGTTAATAAACTTACATAGAGTCTTCCCAAAAAAAATTACATAGAAATAAATAAAACAAAAGCGTTTAATATCAATTAGAATCATACTAGGTTTATTTATACTACGTAATTGAGATCATATCCAAAATCAGAATTCATTTCATAATTGAAAGTCAAATCGGATCTTATTATGGTTCGGCTGGGGGTTTATTGGATGAGTCCACTAGATCACAGTGAGGGTAAGGGTGTAGTACTGAACTGAGCCAAAGTAAAGAATTTTTTTTGAATGATTTTTACGTGACACTTTTTACACTAACAAGGGATGTGTAAGGGTTAGCATGCCCCCCCCCCCCCCCCCCCCCGTTGTATTCGTTTGACCCATATGTATCTAATACTCATACTCGCTCATACACGTCATGTACGTATTGGATCTGTATTTATAATTTAATAAAAGGATTGGACAAAATATAAATATTTCCGATACATGTACGTGTGGATATATATACGTGTGTCTAACTACATAACAGTGATTCCGTGCATGACCTGACGAGAATAAAGTAGCCGCCCAGACAACTACAATTCCTCACTCTTTAATCATCAATCCTCATTCTTCAACTACATCTCTTACCGTCTACCGAGTTATCGAGGAAAGTCGTGACGTGTCTTCTTTTTCTCTCATACAAATTAAGATTCAATTCACTTCACCTCAATCAAAACCAATTGTTTTTTATACGTGAGAAGCATAACAAGTGGGGCATGCATCGGTTTAAATGAGAGGAGTATGGAAGATATTGGAATACTTGAATTTGCCAATGAGGGGAGTATGTTTCTTTTCTTTTTTTGAAAGACGCTTGATGAGTCTTATTGGAATCGTCCTTCTTAAGTGACTTAGATATAAATATCTTCTTAAAAGACTTAGTTGTAAATGCCTTCTTTAAAAACTTAGATGTGAATGCAAATAGCGAATCAAATGTATTTGAATTTAAATTGAAATATCAGTACTTTAATTCAGTTTTTAGTCTAATATTTGAAATTTTATTAGGATTGTAAATTTTTTGTACTATTATTATTATTACTATTATTTTATTACGAATCTCTGGAATATATATATTTGCAAATTATACCATGTACGAAGTATATTATTATTTATACTTCATACCCATATTCTATAATCTTCACTGCACAGTCAATGTATATGTACTCGTATTTATGTCTTGGTGTATCCATATCCCTGCAATGGATACTCATGATGTATGTATAACAGGGGCGGAGCCAGAAAAGTGTGTGAGAGACTGAGGGGGGTCGGAGTTTAATTATACACAATACAAAAATAATGGATAGTTATTATACAATACTTGAATTAAATGTTTCATATGTAGTTGCGATAAATGGTAGTTTAATGAGTCTTTTTCAGTTAATGTATTGATATATATATATATATATATATATATGTGTGTGTGTGTGTGTGTGTGTGTGTGTGTGTGTGTGTGTGTGTGTGTGTGTGTGTAATGTATCATAATGTTCACACAAATAATGACTGATCTGAATAAGGTATTTTATTTTTAAATTTAAGAATATAATCAACGTCACACATCAAATTTTACTTATTTCAAGTTAAGTTGGTGCTGATTTTTTGAGAAGTCATAACGTTTTACTCGTAATGAGTTACGAGATTAATAATAAATCAAATCGAATGTATTTCTGATATCTACATTCTTGAACTTTCAGCGGGGTCGGCTGACCACCCTACCCCTTGGCTCCGCCCCCGTGTATAAGTATAACGGATGGGGAGATAAACTTATACTCCGTACGTAGTAATGTTTTTCTACCTGAATAATAATGTAGCCCATCACAATTCACAAATTAAAGTCCTGTCTCTCGGTGAAAGCTACATCTTGCGTCTAGGTTATCTTATTTCTTTGGCCCCTCATTTTTTATCGTTTCATGGCAAACTATCAGCCCATATACGGAGTATTGTATGTGCACTCGTGCAGTCGTCTGTCGGCACTGACCAATAAATCAATGATCTATTTTTTATGTAGATAAAATCATAAAAAGAGTGCTTTAATTACTCCCGTGTATATATAGACAATTCATCTGAAAAGGAAAAAATATATGAACGCGAACAAATATAGAAAAGTGTATAAAAAATTGCACACCAAGAATTGTTCATTTTATTAAGTATATTACCGAGTATAAATTAGAGAAATATCATATGTGTTGTCATAGTATATACTAGTTCACCCTTTTATTGTCTACACTTTTAGTCGTGTAATTTTATTCGCGTACAGGATCGTGTGATTAATAAATCTATCTACTTATATAAGTGTGAACCTACAATAGTAAGTCAATGAAATTTTTCTACCCTTTTATATATCATATTCCTCTCACACTCAATCTATTTAGCTATTTAATAGAGTGTATAGATTCGAAGTTCGGATCTCATGACTATTAGGCATAGACAGCGATCCACATGCGTTCAGCATATAACATTTATATATACCATTGTAGTTGGCGATATCGGACCATGCATGGTAGTGGCATAGCCTAATTAATTAGTTATCTATTCCTTGTATCAATTAGATTAGTTTTTATATAACTTATTAGCTATTTCATATAGTTGGGGATATCGGACCATAGTAGTGGTATGGACCGTATGGCTGACTCTTTTGCTATATATACTCCCCTCGGGAGGTCGTAAACCTCACTTGATATTTTTTGTTTCTATTTATATCGGTAGGTCAACCACCAATCGGTGGGGCAAACTCCGGTGAACGTTTGTCAATTATTATAGATAATAGACCCTAATTGATATTCATTCATGCAAACCTTACTATTTATCCTTTTTCTTCAATAGCTCACTATCTCAACATTTTAATTAATATAATTTGGATCTTATTATCCATCACTATTTGTTCCGTTCTTCTTTAACTTTTTTCCTCCTTTTTCATTATTTTTATTTTTCTTCTATTTTCTCACTCCCAATCACTCTCTATGCACTTGTCTTTTGAAGCCCCCTAATCTTTTTTGACTTTTTTTCACTTTCTTCATTTTAATCTCCCAAAAAATGTGTATATGACAAAAATAAATTTTGTTAATAAAAATATGATTCATAAGTGTAGTGGCTATTATATATAGTAAATTAATCATAATAAATTATGTTCAATTTTTACACTCAAGTGACTATGAGACTGCATTATAATAAGTTAAGTTACACAATATATTTTTGTAAATACTAAATAATTAGTTTCATTTCAATTATTTTTTAAACTTTATATTTCAAATGACTTTATGTAATGGGTCGTTAAAAATTTGTTTGCAGTATTTAAGAAGACAAAAAAATGACGTAAAAATAGAAAATATCCAAGTGATTTCGATTATGGTATATTTCCATATTCGAGAGCATGGGCATGTGATATAAGACAACAAGCTAGGTAGATAATGCTCTTTATGATCGCGCTGGACCTATAATGTTGACAAATATCGTACTTTAGCATGTTTTTTACCCAATGACAATGATATTGAAGCGGTTATGTTTGTCTTAATATTCATTTATTTTATTCAGAAGTTCTTAGATTAGATTAGAAAAAGAGAAATGGTCTTAAATAAGACCAAAGCTTTATGTATATACCCGTATAGGACCACATGCTTTTTAATACCTAATAAATACGACTAATTATTTATTCCATGCCAATTTTGCCCTTGATTTAGTTGTAGGATACTCTTCCTTCGTTTTCCTGAGACGCATATTCCCATCGCTAGCCTTCTCCATTCTCTTGCCGCCTCATCTCAGTCGTCTTTGTTCTGGCGCCGACCAGTCCACCACGGCGGCCGCGATTATTTTAGCTGTGAAATAATTGCACCTCCGGACTTCTTGAGTTCTTCTTTACGTAGAAATACAGAGCGGTGCATCGGATTCATCTCTAAATCTTCAGTACAGATCTAATGAACATCTCCTGAAGCAGCTCTCGGAATATTTTTCTGTTCATTCCATATTAAGCCTTTTTTCATTTAGAGGATTGTCATGCTTCAATTTGGATGTAATTGTAAGCGAGTAAGGTCACCGGCAGATATGGAGGCCGTCGCTGCGAGTGATGAAGATAGCCGGATATTTTCTTGCCGTGAAAGACTATTACAGATTCAATCTTTTCTTAAAGGCACTATTACAGATTCTGCTCGCCTCTCTTTCTCAATTTTTAGTTATTTTGATTTATTTTGTAAACTAAAACATTTTTTTTGTCAACGTTATGGATTTTATCTCAGACTCCGTATGGAGTAGTAATAGTGTAATATACTCGGTAGTTGGTAATTACTACTCAATTGATTGGTGATTACATCAATGATTTTTTCCAAAATAAATAATTAAATCATTTCCAAATATTAATTTAAATAGATGCATTTGCAATATCCAAAGAAAAGAAAACAAAAGTAGTGCTTTGTACATACAAACAAGCTGAAAGCAGCGAAATAAGGAATGTATTTTATTGTCATTGACATTCTTATGACAATATCGTTGACATTGTTTTTTATTGACATTTTTATGACATTGTCAATGACATTCTTACGACATTATCGTTGACATTGTTTTTTATATTTGCGGTTTCAGATAGGTCTTATTTATGAGAAATGGTCATAACTAGGACTTATAACTAGGACTTAAAATGTCCGTAAATACTTAAATAGGAGCCAGTCTTTTTTAACTCGTAAATAGGACTTCTTTTTTACTTTGTTCCAAAACTGCCCCACGAGATTCCTTATCTCTCGTCCACAATCTCACCAAACACTCTCTCACGCTCCTTCCTCCATAGCCATGGCAGGCTGCAGCTTCAACGTCCAGCACGGCAGAAGGAGTTGATCTGTAGTGGCGTACTGGCGTTGTAGATGTGGTGAGACTGAGACAGATAAGATACGACAGTGTGGCGCCGACGACTCAACAGAGAAAATGCAGCGGCGCCACAGATGTTTTTTGCTAACGACTCCCTTCTTTCCTTAGCTCGGCAGCCGACCTGTTTTTTTGCTCCGTCTCTGCGCGTGAACCTGGTGCTTATTCTAATCAATTTTTTTATTAGTTTTTTTGCTTTATCCGATCTCTTTCGTATCTAGTTTTTTTTGACGTAGATCTTTTTTTTTTGTTTTTTAAGCACTGTTTTTGGATCGCTGCCTTCTCAAAGCGGGGATCCCGGGTTTACTAGTGCTATAATCGCAGGGGTTAAGGAGATGCATGTGCAATTTGTGGTTGTGGGTTTGCAAGGAATCTTTCAAGATGAAGGCTTGATGATCTGTCCCCCTCGTGAGCCACCGCCGAGGATGATGTTTGAAGCAGGGTTTCGTTTGTTCTGTCAGTTTATTTTACTTATTTTTGCTTTACTCTTTTTGAGGTTCTTAGGCATGAATGTTGTCGTTGTTGTTTTCTGTATTGTTTATTTCCGCCAGACTCTTACATTAGGTGGGGGTGATGAGGGTTTTGCTCTGGCCACGTTTGGCTCATGTAGACCCATTACAGGACAAGTGAATCATATTGCTCTATACAGGGTGATTGGTTCTCCAGCTGGTCCGAGGGTCGGTAGCTAGAAGTTTTTCCTTTATCGTTTGTATCCTTTGCTGAATGTTTTATTATCAATATAAGCCCCTTGTTACAAAAAAACACTGTTTTTTTTTTTTTGCCTTTTTTAAGCTTGTTTATTTTTTTCCAATCAAATTTATTATTCAAATACTCCGTACTTAATTTTTCCTTTCCAAATTTTGCTACAGGAGCATAGTTGGAGTGTTACAATCCACTAGGGAATGCACAAGCTAAAGTTCTTGGAATGGTTGCAAAATAGAGCTGGATGGCCGTCTTAAATTTTACTGCTAGCTGATTTTTCCTCCACCGTCAATAATAAGATTCATTTTTGGTTCTTGAGTTCCTTTAAGCGGATTTGGAAGTTTATGCTAGCTGCAAAGTTAGTTTGAATTTCTAATATGTGAACTAGAATGCTGCTAATATGCTTGTTTTTTTTGTTTTGGAAGTGTCAATAAAATAGACAATGTTGTTTTATATTTTGAATAATGGCAGTTTTCATGACATTGCCATAATTCCGACCATGACAATGTCAATGGAATAGACAATGTCAAATTCTTGCTAATGACAATGTTCATAAATTGTGTTAACATTGTCACATTTTTTTCATTTTTGACTTTTTTATAGAAACTTTTTTCTGACTTTATGTTTTATTTTTTATTCAAACAATGGTATCATTACATTGTCATATATGACATTATTTATTATAATTTCATATAATGTCATTCTATATTACAATGTCATATATGACATTGCATTATAAAAGTTATGTCATTTTTATGACATTGACATCGACATAGTATGTCATTTTTATAGCGTTGGCAATGCCATCGGCATGACATTGATTTATACAATGTTATGAAAATATCACAATTTTATATGAAGTAAGACATTAGTGATTATACTATTTCTCCATGGCAATGTCATTAGCATTATTATGCACCATTGATATTGTTATGACATTGTCATTCCTACACCATTAATATTATTATATATGATAATCAATGATATTGTTATGTCACTACAAAAAAAGTGCACATAGACTGCAGATGGACCACAATTTTTTTTGCGATGGCAGCATAACTGTCGTTAAAACCACCATTAACCACACTTTTTTTTATTTACCACACACAAAAATGTGGTAAAAGCTTAGAGACGACAGTGTTTAACCGTGGCTAATGTTTTTACCACAACTGTTGTGCCGACGCACGTAAAACTGTCGCAAAACTGTCGTAAAAACGTAAGGAGGAACATTTACGACAGTTTTGCGTCAGTTTTACGTGCGTCGCCACAACAGCCGTGGTAAAAACATTGGCCACGGTTAAAAACTGTCATCTCTGACCTTTTACCACAGTTTTGTATGTGGTAAATAAAAAAATGTGTGGTTAATGGTGTTTTTAACGACAGTTATGCGGCCATCGCAAAAAAAAATTGGTCTATGTGCGGTCTATGTGCACTTTTCTTGTAGTGTGTGATAGAGTTGTATTTTTATCATGTATTATTTCTATTTTAACTAGTTTTATTTGTTGTTGTTTGGAAAATTACACACTTTTGGTGTAATTAGTTAATTTTCTTAGATAGATGTAATTTGTTTAGATTAGGATTATTCTGAGCTTAAAACAGGTCAAGATCATCCAAAAGATCAAGTTTGGACCCCAAAAGATCAAGGAAAGTGCAAGGGGACAAGATCAAAAGAAGATTGAAAAAATATTTCATATACCCGGTCGGGTATAGGCAATACCCGATCGGGTATTGAGTTGATTCGGGTGTCAAAATCAGAATCTGGAGAGATTTGGAGAGACAAAAAAACGTGCAGGATTTTGAAGATTTGGCTCATACCCGATCGGGTATGCCTTCATACCCGACAGGGTATGTCTAGAAAAGTGATTTTCCGGGAAACTGCCTAAAATACCCGATCGAGTACCCTATATACCCGGTCGGGTACACCACCCTGCTACCTCCAAACACCTATAAATACACCCCTTTTCCTTCACAATAAGATCATCCCTTCTTCCATACTCTTAAGCTCAGTTTAGAATAGTATTTCTTTTATATTTTTATAGCATGTTTAGTCTCCAAATGAGGAGCTAAACTCTTCCATCTTGGTTTTGCTACTTTGAAGCTTAATGAATTTGTAAGTTGTGAGTTATTATCTTTAATCTTCTTCCTTGAATATTAATTCTTCTTTTAAATACTATTTCTATATCAATGTTGGGGAGTGTTACTAAGATGACAATTAGTTAACATCTTGACATTAGTTATAGTAATAGTTATTTCTTCCTCTACGTTAATATCGGGGAGTGTTACTAAGATGACAATTAGTTAACATCTTGATATTGACTATAGTAAGATTCATCTTCTTTAATATTCTTTCTTGAGTATTAATTAATTCCTATTCATCTTTCATATTAATATTTTGAACATTACTTAAAGGATCAACTAGTTTTGTTTCATATATTAATTAATACTAGAATCGGTCGATTAATACGCTTGTTATTAATTCGGTCCTTTCATGGTAGTAAACTTGGATTATTAATTCATGCATCTCATGGTTAATAATCTAAGGGGAATTAATTATATTGATTAAACCAATAAACCGCTTGTGTTGAGGTTATCAATCTCAATCGTTTTCATCTTAAGTTTATTGCTACTATCAAGTTAATATACGGCGCTTGTTCTATATTGACTCGATAGTAAGTTTTATTAATGAACGCTTCTCGTTATTAATAACTACCCTCGATGAACTGGATATACTCCTCGATTGAGTATTCGAGAGGAAGATAGTTAAAGATATAACCGGGATCGACGAACATTTCATTAAGTGGATAAAAGCAAAGCCAAGTCTTCTTCTTATTTATTAAACCACATAACTCGTTCATGTTCGTGTTCAATTTTAATTAAATCATTCAATCAAACCCCCCCTTTATTTATTAGTTACATAAAAAGAGAATTATTCCTTTCCCTGTGGATACGAACCTTACTTCGATATACTACGTATTAGTGTCGTATTGTATTATTATTTTGAGTGCACCTCACGACAAGTGCACGTCAGTGTGTCATTTACATTGTCATTGCAATGTCAATAATAATGTCAATGACATTATCAATAACAACATAGCATTGTGACATTTGAATACATAATGAAACATTTTTGTGACATTTTCTTATTACGTCATTTGTTATAAATACTTAAAATTGTGATAACTTTTTGATAACGTTGTCACACACTTTTGAAATATTGTGACATCGCTAGCACATGGTCGCCTAATGAATTTCTAGGCCCCCATTCCAAATTCAAAATCGAGGCACCATAAATGAATAAAAAAAATTGCATATTACGTATAATAACAAACTCACATAGTTCAATAAAATCAATTGTGTTCAAGTGTTCATATAGAAAAAGACAAAAATTTAAATAACTACATATTAATTTTGTCACTATTTTTAGATTTGTGAAGCTTTCGGCTACATTGACAAATTGTGTCATTTATGACATCAACCCATTTTTCCGACATTGTGTATATTCCCAATATTTTGACAATGTGGTATAACACATGACATTTTTAAATATTATGACATTAATTTTACAAAATGTGACATTGTTTGTACAATTATCACAATTGTTTAATTTCCACAATGATATTATTCACTAGCAGCAACATATTACAAAGATAAATGTCTAAAATGAATCAAACAAATACGGAGTGATAATTTAAAGATTAATATACAAATTAAACAAAGCAACAATCCGAAAAGTTTTTTTTTGGAAAAACCATAAACTGATTTTTTTGAAATATACTGAAAAGTTAACAATTTGAAAAGGAAATTAGATAAAATAAAAAGAAGAAGAAACAAAAGTACTCCATAAAAGGAATGAACAGGGGGAAGGTAAGGTAGGCCTAAGATAGTATATACACACACACAAATGTTCATGTCCGGAATTCCGGACGGCGGCGTTTGGCCGCCTTCCCGGTGACATTGTTTGATGAAATTTTTATGGCATGTTCTCCATCAAGTCTAATTTATGGCATTTTTACTCATAATATATATATATATATATATATATAGTATATAATTACTTGAGCCTCATACATTTTTTGTTCATAAATTTTATTAACTAATCTTTTGGGAAAACCCTTATATTCTAACCACTGTTGCCATTAAATTATGAGCAATCATTAAAATATTAATTAGTGTGCGCATTTGTGCTATGTATTAAAACAAAGTTTAGCTTTGATTATTTTAATATCTGATACATGAGAACATGTTTATTGAAAGATATTAGACGATATTCTTAGCATGCATGAGTTATTATTTTGAGAGAGAGAACATATTACAGACCGGCTAAGGCAACGTCATGAATATGTATATAAACATCTGACATCAAACTATCAAAGTAGGCAAATTATATATAGAAGATAGCGAAACTAAAGCAACATATACAAAAATTAAAAGTATTTTAAAGTTACCATTATATTCAACCGGCCATTTTTGAAAACACGTCCAAATCCAAATAGGTCGTAATAAAGACTATAATGGTATGTCACATTTCTACTTGCACATTAATTTTTCTTTAATACTCCCTCCGTCCCTTAAAACTTTGTCATCTTTCTTTTTTGGGACGTCTCAAAAAACTTTATCATTTTCCCTTTTAATCAATTATTTGTGGTTCCAATTATTTCTCTCTCCTCTGCACAAACCTCAGCCACACAGTTTTTGCTTTATTATTTTCTGTGTCAGTCAAACTTGACAAAGTTTTAAGGGACATAGGTAGTATTTGCTTTTCAATGGAAAATAATTCTTTGAATTAGAGACATATATATTCTACTCGTATATTATTTTAGGATGCTGTGATGCCCCCCGCTTCAAGAGAACCAAGTCCTGAACCAGCTCCATCTCACGTACGTATTATTCATTTTTGTATAATTAGTGGATTTTTTTTTGAGAGAATAGTTGATGGATTTTTATTCTCCCTTTTAATGAAAACTTCATAAATGTTCTTTGTTGGTATAATCACTAAAATGTGTACTACGGTACTTGTGTATACAAATCTGTTGTTAACTAAAATAATAAAACGCTGGTAAGCTTAAAGAGTTTCAAAATTGTTACAAATAAGAATAAGAATAAAAATAATGTGATATTTCAAAAATAGGAGTACTATTCTTTTTTTCTTTTTTTTGGAAGGAGTACTATTCTATTAATTACTTGTATTTTCTAAATATACTATCATTTTTCAAATACGGTCAATATAATTATGACATTACTAATGTCATTTTAATTCAGGGTAATGTCAAAATATAATAGTATGAAATCAATAAAACAGTAACTTACTCATCCTACTTAAGGAAAAACTGTTCATATTTTGGTACACACCGCAACACATTATATTATGTAGTACGGAGTATTAATTTTACTCTTATTTTTCCTCAAAAAAAAATATTTACTCTTATTTGGAAAATTTCTCAAAGAATTT